TCGACGAGGCCGTTGCCCGGAATACGGAGCTTGGTGCGGACGTTGATGCGCACAATCATGACAGAGAGGCCACACGCCACGGCAGCACAGCCCGAGGCGACCCCCGAGAAGGGGTACCGCCCCGAGACGCCCGCCGTGATGTACACCACGAGGTAGGCAAGGCCAAACGCGAAGAGGCCCGTCGTGTACGCGCCGAGACCGATGCGGTGTACGATCTGAGCGAGCGAGACGCACGGGCACCAGAACGCCATGCAGCAATTGGGAATGACGTCCGTAAAGCAGCCAAAGATCCCAACCGTCCACTCCCCGAGAACGAGGTTGTTGGTGTTGTTGGTGTTGAGCTCCACGCCGTCGGCCGTGACATGCTTGACGGTCGGCGCAGGATGGATCTCGTAGGACGTAGTCGTCGGTTGCTGGTCCATTTTCGTTAGCGCAAACTGTAGAATGAGCGCGTGCCAAGGGTACTATGATGGGATGCGGCGCTAGGAAGAAGAGCGACGAGACACAACTGGCGTTGTGCAAGGCTCTCGTCCCACGCGCACGAACCAACGGCCACATATGAGAAGGAGTTCATTAGCTTGGAAATGTATGGCCGTATATTGCCCCAATGCCTTCTTCTAGTTATGAGACTGCACCAGTACACCGGGGCAGGTCGAATCTTCAACGACTGGTTGTATCTTGATAAATGTAATGTATACAAAGGGAAGGTGGTTTTCAAGTGACGACTGGGAAAGCCCTCGGGCCTCACCTTTAGATACGTACACTCGGGCTTTCCACCTGCCCGCACGCTATTTGCGCTGTAACGTCTGTGTGCTGTCTTTGCCTCGCCTGGTCAACCCTCTGCAAGCATCTACGACCTCTCTTACTATTTTCTATATAGCTCGTACGAGACATCACGAATTGCTAGAATGAATTGCGATTTACTTCGAGTGACGATTCTGCAGACAGACTAGGCCATGTAGCCCGGCAGCGTGTCCTTGGGCCCGAACGCGCACGTGCCCTTGTCGTACGCGTGGACTTGCGTCGCCATTTGTGCGATCGCGCAGCAGTTGCAGAAGAAGCCGCAGAGGCAGTCGACGCAGCAGTTGCCCGGAATCTGAA